ATTCTGAGAATCTGGATACTTTATCTTTTTTTATCATTACCACAATATATTCATCTAGTGTATGTGAAGACAATTAATGTAAACTATTATTATAATTTCTCTCTCTCTCTCTCTCTCTCTCTCTGGTGAATATTTCTCTGAGTTTATCTTCCATATCAAGGTCACCCGAATAATTTCAGTGATTACATCTGTTTGCCCTACATGGAAAGGGAGATGTTAGATATTCAACATGGTTTTAGAAGAGGTCAAGCAACAAGAACCATAGTTGATGCATGTCATATAATCAAGAAAAAGCACTGATGAATTTGGGGGTTGAAGTATAATAATAGTTTACCATAATTGACTTCATATATTGTGGTCATGATAAAAGAGAGAAAGTGTCCAGATTCTCAGAATGATTAATGATGATGGCCAGTACAAGACCATCAGCTCTTTGTCCTCTACCTCCCCAAAATCACCAGCCATGTAAAATGATTCACGTCTTTAATTTGATTTTGCACCTGGCAAACCAGTTTCTGACCTAAATAATTTCTCATTGCCACAAGATGGCAGTGAAACCATGCGTAGTACTGAAATCACCAGCATTTAATTACTACCAGAGAAAGAAGTCATACAATTACACTTAAGGGGGTTTGGCTTGGTTTGATTTGGTAACAAATCTTAATCTGGATAGAGTAGACAGATTGGTTTTAGTCTGATTTAGATTATCTATTCTGAAATCCCAGAACAAAACTTTTTACAGCTTTCAGACAGGCAAAACTAAGGACAAAGAAATATTAACAAATTAAAAACCAAAATTGAGATGCTTGCAGAGTACACCTGCCCAAGAATCTGGTGTGTGTGTGTGTGTGTGTGTGTGTGTGTGTGTGTGTGTGTGTGTATTTTAAATGCTGGTTGTGCTTTGAAAATTAGATAACCAAAATAATGAGTTCTGTCTTAGGAAGCCCCCTTACATAAGTTGTCAGATCCAAAGGTGCTTTTTCAAGAGCCAGCTGGACTTTCTGTTTTTTTCTTTAAGACGTTTTGCTTCTCATCCAAGAAGCTTCTTCAGCTTCTTCTTACATGAGAAGCAAAATGCCTTCAAAGAAAAAAACAGAAAGTCCAGTTGGCTCTTGAAAAAGCACCTTTGGGACAACCATGACCTGGATGACTGAGAATCTCCATAGACATAAGTTGTCAGACTGCTGAACCATATATGTCTAATCAGCTCTATTGTGGTTGCCATAGTTCACAGGTTCTAAGACAGGCTTTCTTTCCCAGCTTAGGTGGTAGGAATTGATCCCACCCCACAACCCTCAGCTCTTTTTCTGTATTATATATTTTCTCTCTTTTTTTAAAAAATTTTTTTTATTATTAAAATATAAACACAGATATAAAGACAATACAATACATGTATTATATATTTTCTCAATGGGCTCAGCTTGTTTTAATAATCTATTTTTTACTTGCCTTCTAGTTGAAGTCGGCAGATCGTAAAGCTGCTAAGGTTGAGAAACCCTGCAATAGACTATCAATCTTAGAGTTACTCTTTTTGCTCTTTCACGACATTTGCCAGCTTCTCTTCTCTCCCATTTTTAATTTTCTCCATACTTTTTGTTTTTGCTTAAGAGCTAAACACACACAAAAAAAAACCCCCCACAAAAGGCTTTAAGAACTTGGCATTCTTCTGCCACATTCCCATGATCTGACATCGCCAAGTGAAAAGGCAACTTTTTGTCAATTTCCCTGACTGGGCATCCAAGTTTGGTAGAGTCATATTCTTCTTTGCATTTTTGTTTGTTTTCTAAGGCTGGTCACTCATGAGTATGCTGGCCAGTTTACAAGGATTTAAAGCAAAACTAAGACAGGTTTTTCAATATTTTTTTAAAGTCATTTCAAAGTCTTTTTTTTTTTTGCAAAAAAAAAAAAAGTCTCAGCCATCAAAGCAGTGTTGGAAGAAATATCCTTCTGGGTTAAGTTTCAAGTGGGGAAAAATACACTGGATTCATGGAAGTTGCTTGGAAAGAAGATTTATTGATGAACAGGATTACATGGCTTGAGATCCTGGGCAAAAAGGGCAGAGATGCTGAGAGTGCCTGGGTTTTATGCCCTCTGTTGGACTTTGAATTTGAGCTTGCATTCTGATTGGTTGTCAGACTTCCGTGGGGCCATACAGGGGTAACTTTGTAGGTCTTCTTTTGAGTCCCAGGCTTGGTTGATTCTTGCTGGGTGATGATGTAATGAAAGGGCTTTGGGCAATTCCTACTATGGCTCTGACTGAAGGAGGTAGATCTTTGTTAAGTAGAATAGACTGGCCTAGGCCTTAATGGCCCATTGACAAAGGTGGGGGGGGCTGAGTTTCTGCCTCCCTTTAGGGGAAATATTCTGCCCTTTTAATATTTCCTAAAATATCTCATTTTCCTAGGAGAGGACTTCCTACAGCAGCATATACCTCTTCCACAGAAGATCTATCTATTTATTCTAGGCCAGAGATTAGGGTGGTGTTTCTTGACCCCAGCAAATGTCCAGGTTTCATCTCCCAGAATTCCGATGAGCAATCTGGTGAGGGAATCTTGGGAGTTAGAGTCCTGGCATCTTAAAGTTACCAAAGTTAAGAAACCCTGGTCTAAGAAAACTTCTAATTTTCAGGGCTATCTTGAAGGACATCAGGAGTAGGGCTGTCCAGACCTTGGAAGAATGCTGTTCCAAAACAAATGTCACAACAGGAAAAACTAATTGGTCCATTAAGTACAGCAGTGCTTAATGGACTGGACTTGGTGTTAGATCATAAAAGACAGACAAAAACAGCTGAAGAGAGATCATCCCTCAAATATGCCGCTTCTGTGCCATGTTATCGATAGTAATATTGTTTATATTGCCTCTAAGTAGAGCATCGTTCTGGATTAATAGAGTTAATCAGGAAACAGTATATGGTTTGCAAGAAATTGCTTCCTTTATAAACACTGGATTTTCCCCAATGAATTCAGGTTTTTTTCCATATGGTATATATACCAATTAGTTTGGATTCCACCCATGTTTGCCAATGACTGCAGAATGAACATTAACTTCCAAGTAACAACAGCATTGTACATACAAAATTTTATTTTAATTAGGATTTTCAAAGCAAATGCTAATGTTTCTATTAATCGTCCAGATGAAGGAATGTCAAAAAGGGTGTTTGCAGTTATCATATATCATATTGAATTCATTTGGAAACTTAGCAATTTTGCCATATGTGATACTTAGTATTCCATGTGGCTTTAAATGATTTCTTTTCTTTCTTGTAATTCTTTCTAACTATTGCATTTTGAAGGAAGCCGAAACTGTATGGAAATCAGTATACTTTTCATCCTGAAAAAAAAGATTAATGTTTCTTTAAATGGAACTGAGTCAATAAATAGTGTTTCTTGGGAACAATAAGCTAATAGCAGTACATACACATGATGTATGTGATATCCATTTCAAAATAAAGGTTTTCAGGAAGGGAGTTTGAGAAACTCAAGTAATCTGTGTTTATATAATAATTTTTTTATGTGATTGATAGAAAACAAGAAAAATAACAGATCCCGATTGTGGGAAACTGCCAACTAAAACAAAATAAAAGCATGCCACTGTCGAGCCTCACAGCACACTCGACAACGCTACCACGCGATGACAGCAGCAAGGAACATACATACGATATACATACACACAGGGTGATGGTGGCATTGGGTGCAGGCGGTCATGTGCGGGGTGTGGGGTGGAGGTGTCGTGTGCGACGGGTGTAGGGCGGTTCATGAATGTTGCTGCAGAAGAACGCTCCAGATCACACTGAAGCCCGATACGCTGATGAGGGAGGGTGTGGTACTAATAACAAGGGTGTGGTATTAAGGAGGAAATTTAGGTAATGAACGGGAGGGCTATTTAAACGCTCACCATCAGGGATCCATAGCGCTGATTTCGTTCGTTTTTGCGAATCATAGCATGTGTCTGGAAGCTGACGTGAATAAACCAGCATTTTGCAAAGAGCTGAACTGTGTTTGCTGAGTTTTGCTTGCGTCTTGCACGGAACTACTGAGAGCCACTCTAACAAAACATTGAATTTTAGTGTTTGAAAATGTGTAATTTTTGTACTTTTCTATTTGGTCCAAAAATCAGGGAAATCCAGAATTTGGTTGCTAATTGGAAAGTCAAGAACATGATTGATTGAAGAAGTTCAAAGTAAGGCAAAGCAAACAAGGATGGGCAGGAGAAGGTGACGATATGGCAAACTATTATTACTGTTTATTAAATTTATTGGGTGCTCAACTTAACACAGAACATGTCCAGCATTTTATTCAGTTTTCAAATTCTCTTCCACTCACTTTTTTGTTGAAGGAGTCATCATAAGAGCAAATGCTTTAAAGACAATAACATGACAGTAATAAACCTAATACCAGAAGTGGTGCTGACCAGCAGGTACTGACCAGTCCTAGAGAACCGGTAGTGGAAATTTTGAGTAATTTGGAGAACCGGTAGTAAAAATTCTGACTGGCTCCACCCCCATCTATTCTCTGCCTCCCAAGTCCCAGCTGGTCGGGAGGAAATGGGGATGTTACAGTAACCTTCCCCTGGAGTGGGGAGGGAGTGGAGATTTTACAGTATTCTTCCCCTGCCACACCCACGAAGCCACACTCACCAAGCCACGTCCAGCAAGCCATGCCATGCCCACCAAACCACGCCCACAGAACCGGTAGTAAAAAAAAAATTGAAACCCACCACTGCCTAATACCTGTCTCTCCACTGCATGTAATTTGGGGAATGAAAGCATGCTAAAATGATATTCTTTAGAAATAGCCCAGACTGTAACATAAGTGGTAGAACAACAGAATTGTGGCAGAGAAACCACTATATTGTGATTCAGGAGTCGTCCATGAAGAAAATCAGTTAGCTGAGTTGTTGCTGAAGTTGAGATGGGCAATATAAATCCTCTAATTAGAAACAAAAATAAACAGACAAAAACAGAGAAAGTCGGAAGCAAAGAAGTGATCAGGTTCTGGTGGTGCCAGAGACTTTTTTTTATAGGAAGCTTCAAAGAATTTTACAGAAGGGTATTGTCATAGGCCCAACAAGACTACATGTTACACAGCAAAGTCAGGACAACAGCTCTTGCAATTAAATGAATCCAAGCCAAGGAATTTCCCTCAAATCTCCTAGTTTCCATCCAGGCACAGCTCATTCCTATCCCACTCATCCCAGCCCAGCCTTTAGTAGATAAAATTAGGAATATTTTAAAAATAAGGCACCTGGTAAAAAAGAGTCCACTCACTTATGCATTAGAATAAATTTGTCTTAGAGCAGCTGATTGAAAAACTACCTTGATGAAGCTAAACACACATGAGGTTTTGTGCTTTAAGAACAATATCTATGGTTCTTTAAAATTCATGATGGGAGAAATATTTCTCCCATCAAACATATTTAAGTGAAAACATTCACTTAAATGTTTTATAATTGGTTTTTTTTTTCACATTTATGGAAATGTACCCACCCTCTCCTTAGATATATACATGCAAAATATGTACCCATAAGACCACCATCTCCCCCACATCGCAGTCCAGTTAAGTCATCCTGTAACATGGCATGGCTTATATGGAGTCAGCAGTTGGGGTATTTTTTCAGGTTTCCTTCTTACTCGTTGCAATTCCTCTCTTTTTTTCCCCAGCCCTCACAAAATTCATATTCTGTTTCTCCTATGTTTTTCCCCTGTACACACAAATGTGATATTTTACCGCAATAAGCCACAATGTTGAAATAGCAGTTATGATGAGTATATTGTGCTAAGTAAGAAAGCCTATAACCTAGCGCTATATTGGTACAATTGATTCGTGTTTAAGAGAAGAACTGTTTTGTGCCGTATCATCTGGGTTTGCTTAAACTTTCGCATCAGGTAAAGAGCATAGCAAAAGGTAGAGAAACGAGAAGGAACCCCACGCTTACAAAGCCATGCTAGCCGCAATGCAGTTTGTGGCAGGTGCTATCTTTTTCTGCCTCCAAGCAAACATTTTCTTGAGCTCCCCCCTAAACCGATCGTGTAGCCAGGCATAAAGGAAAGCATTTGTACAAGCAGACATCATTGCAAACCAATGGCAAATCAGCTGAATAAGGTTGAAGTATTGCTTGTCTATCAGTCTGATCTCAACATCTTTGATGACATTGAAGAGATGCAGAGGCAGCCAGCAAACTCCAAAGGCTGTGACCACCAAGACGAGCAGACGAAAAGTCTTCCTCCGCTTAGCTCGGTCGCACTCAGCTTGGCTCTGGGTAACATTACCAGGAACGATTCGGTTTTTCAGCTTGACTGAGATCCTCAGGTAGGAGACAGAGATGACCGTTAAGGGCAGAACATAGGTGAAGATGAGGGTGCTGTAGGCATAAGCTAAGCGATCCCTCTTCCTGTGGAACCAAAATTCTTCACAGATGGAGAAGTCCAGCTCTGGAAATTCTGCATGGTAAGTACAGACCAAGGCTGGGGCAGCTAGTATGCAACTCAACAGCCAAATAGCAGCCAGGATATACACACAGATGGATATTGTCAGTCTCCTCTGAAGGGGATAAACCATGGCGAAGTACCTGTCTACAGCAATGACAGTCAGGGTGAAAACAGACACAAATACAGTGACCGGCTGCATCAGGAACACAAAGTAACACATGAAGCGTCCGTAGATCCACCCTCTGGGTTCAAAGGCATATGCCAATGTCAGGGGCACACATGTGGCACACATTAGCATGTCTGAGAATGCCAAGTTGCCCACAAGGAAATTGGTGACATTGTGCATTTTTTTAGTCTTGCAGATAACATAAATAAGGAGATAATTCCCAATGACGCCAACAAAGACCACCAGAGAGTAGCAAGGAATAATGAGAGGCTTGAAGAACTGGACAAGCTGGAGCCCCAGGAAGACGTTGCTGGTGTTGCTCTGAATTGCAGAAAGAAGGCTCTGAGAGGTCAGATTTGCTGGTTCCATTGCCTTTTTCCACTGTTACAATTTCCTTGGCAATAAAATTAATCTGAGCACATATGCATTAATTTTTGTCTAAATCATCTTGGGATGATGGACAGATTTTACCTTGAGTTTGGCCACCTGACATTTGCATGTATTCATCTGCAAAAAAAAAAAAAATGAAGAAGAAGAAGCAGAAGAAGCAGAAGTGAGCCTCAGTAGACGCTTCCTTACACGTAGGAATAATAAAATACAATCAATCTGCCAGGACCCTCTCTTTTCTTCCACATAAAACTAACTCTGTCCCTTTAAAAGCATGCAGCTGAGAAAATCATTATTGCACTAAGAACTATACTTACAGCTGTTCTCTCCAGAAGTTCGATGTCATTCTGCATCTTCTTCTTCTTCTTAATCCCATTTGATTTTCAAATCCATAACCAGTTAGAGCTGCTGGTTAACAGCAAGAGGGAGGGAGAAAGTAAGCAAGCTGCACTTGGTGAATTAAAATACACAGATTGAAGGTTGTTTGCAGGCTTCCCTATATACTCAAAATGAATTTGGGAGGAGGGATCTCTCTCCACTTGTTGCGTGCCTTCAGGAAAGTCTGTAAATCTCTCTTTTCTCTCTTGGTTGGCAAGCCATCTCTGAGATACTTTCTCAATGAGAACATCTGAGCTCAACCCGGAGCTGAGTTTCCTGCTTGCAGTCCTGAAACAGAGTGAGGAGCTTTGATGCTGCTGACTTTTTAGAACAGGAATGTTGCTAAAAGGATGAAGTAGTAAAAAAATATTATCACCACTAGAGGGACTCAGCTACATAGAGATTGAAAAATCTTCCTTGCAGTTGTGAGTTATATTGAATCATATTTAACTATAGGTGTGCCATGGGTGTTTGTTGGTTCTGCCAGAGTTTAGTATGTTGCATTAAGTTTGGAAAATGAAGTCCCTCATCTGCTTAACTTGTATGTTATCTGTATTTATACTGCCAAGGAATAAGCAATATTATGAGTTATGTTATGAATATAGTAGAATAGCATATGAATATAATAGTAGTCAGACTGAAAATTTCATTTCAAATAATCACATGAGTACAGAGATTTAGTTACATGATGCCAGATAGTTTGGTATTTTATTTATTCTCTGCTCTCTTCTTTTGCTGTTTCTAACATTCTTTGCTGGAAAATGATTCCAGTAAAATAAATATTCAAAGTAGGCTTTGTTATTCTAATAGCTAATTCTGTATTTTCTCTTTCCAGCTTCCAGTGAAAGCACTTAAATTATCTTCTCGGAGAACAGCTGCACCAAAATCTATTTAGTTATCACCAAATGTTGACCACCAGAGGAAATAATTGTATAGCCCTTAAGTATAATCATATTCAGAGCTTTGCTAATTATTCCAAGATAACTTGTTTTGAATTTAAATTCCTTGTTTTGCATCAATAAATACCATCAGTTTGTTTTATCATTGTTCAGAGATTAACTCATCCTTTGTAGTGTCATAAATATAAACTCATGGTTTACATAAATAAGATAAATAACCAACAAAAAACAACTGAGATTGGAAAGCTTGGCATATTTTTTTCAAACTAATCAGTGGAATGTGCATGGCTCTGGTTTTAAAAACTCCTGACCGAGGCATTAATTTGTTGTTGTTGTTGTTATAACCATGAAATTAAAATTCTGCTAATTTTTTGAGAAACACGCCAAGACATGTGCATGTTTTCCCCAGACCTGGCAATCAGTGGTGGGTTGCTCCCGGTTCTGTCCGCTTCTTTAGAACCGGTAGTAAAAGTGGCGGGAGGCTCCGCCCACCCACCCAAAGTCATATTGGATGATCTGCGCATGCGCAGAAGCTTCTGCACACGCGTGCTCCCGTTGCAAACCAGTAGTAAAGGTAAGTAGAACCCACCCCTGCTAGAAATGCACAATGTTTGAAAGAATTAAAATTTTGATTCATTATAAATCAAAAGTTCTTATAAAACAGAACAGCATAACATGTTTTTTTCTGTTCCAATTCAACGTTAAATAGTGTTTTCATCAGAATTGAATTGGTGGATTTACCAGCTGCAGGGTAAATATAAATAATAAATTCTCACCTAATGCTTGAGTAATTGAGTGAATAGTAAAACTAATTCTGAAAACTTGAGATGGAGTTCTGTTTTCAGGGAGGAAGGCATCAATCCAAAATTTAAAACTGTGATTTGTAAATATGTATACATAATTTGTTGTATCTGTTCAAGGTGATTAACCATAAAATCATAGAATGTAAATGTAAAAAGATACCTTGGAGAAGAGGTCCCGAACCTCTTCAACTTTAAGCCTGGCGGACTTCAACTCCCAGAATTCCCCAACCTGCCTTGGAGAACCCCTAGTCAAACTCACAATCCATTGCAGGAATCTACTACAGCAGGGATCCCCTTCCCCCGGTCCATAGACCGGAACCGATCCATGGCATGCCAGCAACATGGAAAGCTTCATCCGCAGGATGCAGGCAGCATGCAAAACTACTCCCCATCCGGTCCACAGAATAACCTTTCTCCATGGAACCGGTCCCTGGTGCCCAAAAGGTTGAGGCCCACTGCATTACAGCATTCCCCATCATTGAATATCTATCATCTTCCAGCTAATGAAAACTCATCACCTCCAAGTCAGCCTATTCCAAGGATGTCTGAATAGCTTTAATCTTTAAGAACATTTTCCTGATGTCCAACCAAAGTCTACTTCTCTGTGACTTAAACTCATTGTTTATTGTTCTGCCTTATGGAACAATTCTGAATAATTCTGCCTCGTGTTTTACCTGTCAGCTCTTCAGATACTGACAGACAGCTGTAATGTCTCCCTGCAGTCCTCTTTTCTCCTGGTTAAACAGATATGGTGCCTCCAACCATTCCTATTGTCTTCTAGAAAAAGTCCAGTTGGTCAATATCTTTCATAAATGTGGTATCCAGAAATGAACACACTATTCTACGTGCAATTTGACTAGTCTGGAATGGAGATGTTAATATTATTTTTCTGTTGATGCAGTCTAGGATTTCCTTTCCTTTTCCTTTTCCTTTTCTTTTTCCTTTTCCTTTCTTCTACTCTACTTTACTCTACTCTTCTCTACTCCCCTTTCCTTTCCTCTTTTCCTTTCCTTTCCTTTCCTTTCCTTTCCTTTCCTTCTTTCCTTTCCTCCTCTCCTCTCTCCTCCTTGCAGCTACATCATCCTGTTGTTTCATTTTCCATTTGCAATCCACCAAGACATCCAGGTTTGTTTCCACTTGCCCAATATGGACACTTCATCCTATATTTATGCCATTGATTTTTTTCTGCCAAATACAGATGACATTTGCCTCTTCTGAAATTTATTTTGCTGGAGTTTTGGCAAAATAATTCAGCTTCTTAAAATCCTCCAAGTCTTGGTACTATCATCTATCTTTGTGTCATCTGCAAATTTAGTAATTATATTTTCTAACCTCACATCCAGGTCTTTTATAAATATGGTCAACAGTACAAGTCTAGGAAGATCTATTTCTTTAAAATTATTCAGACATTGTTGCAACCATCATGCAATGTCTTTATAAAACCTGTAGCTGCTGAATCTGTATAGTAAAAAGTCAGTTGGTCAATAGATGGCAGCAAACAGTTTGATTAAGATATAGCAATTCATCATCACTCCCAGAGCATTGGAATGGATGCTTCCCATGTTTCTGTTCAATATTAAGTCAACACCTTCTTTCAGGAAGGATAAAATTGTGTAAGTTTGTTCACACAAAAAGAACGTGACACCTCAAAGACTAATATATTTATTGTGACTTAAGTTTTATTTTATGTGGTCAAGTTCTACTTCATCGTATCCCTGAAGCATGCTCATGATTTGGGGAAATGTATTTGCACATAGATATAGACGGGGGAATGAAATTGTAACATCAAAGAAATAGAATGCCAAACTTATGGATTGTGACAAATATATTAAAGTATAAATTATGTAAAATAAATAGTGACAATTCACAGAGCTGACACGTATTATCTTTCTTAACAGTTTGAAGATGTTTTAATGTTGTATTCCCGAACCACTCACATAATATTTTACATTAGTTGAATGCATTTTAATATTCAGTTAACCATGTTTGTATAGCTTCCATAACTAGCATTTCTTGATGTATAGATCTGATGAAGTGGGAGATGAATTCAGCGTTTCCAAGCAACTATAAATATTACAAAAATTTAGCAGGAAAGATTTCAATGACTTATAGAAAAGGAAGGAGCTATAATATGTGCCATGAAATACAATTTTAACAGGTGCACAGTGCTACTTATATAATGTGCTGTATAATAATATCTGCAATGTTTTCAGTAAAACATTAACCACTCTTGTAATGCAGCAAAATATTTTCATACATCAAGGAAAGAACAAATTCTACTGCCAGAGACTTTCACGGATACCAAAATGAATTTGTTAAAAATACATTTTAATCTCATTTGCTCCCCACTGCCAGGTTTGCATATGAATATTTTCTTGGTTGTGCTGGAAAAGAACAAGACAGATCTGGGGTGGAGAGTGAAACATGTCATCAGTTTAGAGTTCACAAGAGATCCAAGTCCAATTTTCCTTGAATCCCCCTGACCTTTATTTAAAACAAACATAGGGCTGACCATTATCCCAAAGATACTTTTCAAAAGGCAATTGGACTTTCTTCATTTTTTTTTTTCTTGAAAATGTTTTGTTTTTCAACCAAGAAACTTCTTCGGGGAGATAAAAAAAAAGAAAACTAAAAAAGTCCAATTGCCTTCTGAAAAGCACCTTTGGGCAGCCATGACCTGGACAACTGAGAATCTTTATAAATGTTTGCTGACCATTAGTTAACCAGATTCTTGTGCAGAGGGTTCAATAAATCATTTGTGCTGCAACCTTCGTGAATAGTCCTGATTCTTTGTGCTTGACAGGTTGCCTTTTGTTTGTGTGTTTGTTTTACAGAGCCTCCTTTTGTTTGCTTTGCTTTGCTTTTTGTAGCAGGGTTTGGCTGTTATTTTCAACACAAAAATATTGCTGTTTTCAACATTAACATTCAACATTAAACTCTTGTCTGTCATGAGACCAGGTGCACTTATTGATCAGATAACCACACTTACAGTTGCACTTTGCCCAGAGGGAACTACTCTCCTGGGCCAGACAAGTAATTTTTTAAGCTCTTCCCTAAAGCTATCGTGAAGCCAGGCATATATAAAGGGATTATAACAGACAGAACTCATAGCAAACCAATGGCAAACCAGTTGGATAAGGCTGAAATAATAAGCATCAATTGCATTGATGTTAATGTCTCGGATAAAGTTGAAGGCGTGAAGGGGAAGCCAGCAAACTCCAAAGACCACAACTACCATGACCAACAAACAGAAGGTTCTCTTCCTCCTGGCTCTGTCCCAGTCTGCCTGGTTTTTAGTGACACTTCCTGGCATCACCCTGTTTTTTAGTTTGAGGGAGATCTTGATGTAGGAAATGAGGATGGCCAGCAAAGGAAAAAAATAAGTAATGAGCAGCAGGCACAAAGCATAGGTTTGTCTTTGGTGCTCTTGCTGCCCCCAGAACTCCTCACATAGGATGATGCCTTGCTTATCCAGCTCCACATAATAGGTATGTGCCATAGCTGGCAATGCTAAGCAGCAGGACAAAATCCAGATAAATAGGATCATATAAGCACTAAGCTGAAGGGAGACACGGCGTCGCAGAGGGTGTATAATGACAATGTACCGGTCAATTGCAATGGTGACCAAGGTGAAGATAGACACATAAACAGTCACCGGCTGCATGAAGTAGACAAAATAGCACATTGTGCTGCCAAAAATCCAGCCCCGTGGCTCAAACACATAGGCAAGAGTAAGTGGGACGCATGTGGTGCACATCGCCACATCTGAAAGGGCTAGATTCCCAATGAGGAAATTGGTGACATTGTGCATCTTCTTGACATGCAGAATAACATGGACCAGGAGACAGTTACCTACCATCCCAATAATGACCACACCTGTGTACAACAGGATGATCAACAATTTGAGTCGCTGCACCAGCTGCAAACCCTGGAAAAATATATTAGTCCCATTTGTAGCAGAGTTGAGGGCTGCTGCACTGGTGTTTGTAGGAAGGGTGCTAGAACCTTCAAATGATCCATACATTTTGGCCTGTAAGATAACAAAACATAGTTGTAAGTATGTTCTTCAGGCACAATCCACTTATTCTGATTGAGGATTCTTGTTTCTAATTTGTATCTCATTTACATTTACATTTCCCAAATCTTCTTCATATTATAAGATATTCAGTTTTAGCATCAGGAAATATGTGTGCAAACAAACACATTCACCCACATACATGCACATATATTTTATTTTTATGATTTGGTTACTCGTTTTACTGTTTTACTTTTGTTTGTCAGAGAACAAAAGAAGGAGGGCCACAAAGAAGTGTGAAAAAATGATAAAGGAAATATATATTCAGATTGCTAGCTTTCCAAACACAATATAAAATTAATATACACACAGATTAACATGCCATGATTTCTGACTTCTAAACAAGTAAATGGACACATACTGTATTTTAAAACAAGTTTCAGCCCTTATGCTATTTAATGTTACCTATGAGATTTAATTCCAGACCTTCCTCCCCTACCAGCTGAATTAAGTTGTTGTCCTTCCATGCAGCCTGCTGTTTGGAAGAGTGAAATGAGTTTCAGAATCAAAAAGGAAGTGTCAGAGAAACATGGATGACTGGTAAATTTTGACTTTGACCATATCTATGACTTAATTCAGCCCCACGCCCCCACCCATTCCTTATGGCCCCCAACAGATGAATGTTTTAAAACCAATTGTTAAGAAGAAGCAGTTTTCAAAACATTGAAGGCATGGCAGATAGAAACAGTTCAGGAGGGACCAATGGAACACCTTTTAGAAGTGTGTGTGTGTGTGTGTGTGTGTGTGTGTGTGTGTGTGTGTGATATTTTCAGAAATATTCATGCCTCAAAGATCTCCTTGTCAGTTACTTTTGATTTCCTTTTGTCATGTACTTGATGAAAGATGACAAAATTCTAGAAGAAAATTAGAGTAGACCTACATGTTGGAAAATCATAAACATTAAAGTATTTGATTTTCTTAAGATGGAGCTCATTCTTGCAAATTGACACAGTTGTCTTGGGTTGGTCTTTTAGCAAATTGACCGGAAAAAAAGTATGGCATTCTAACATCTCCTCTTCCCCGCCACACACATATTAGTCTTGAAAAATTCTTCACAATAATAATACAATTCCAACAATATACAATCCATCATCATGCAAATAATAGACAGTGATAATAATAATGATGATCTAAAAACTGAAATAAATTGTTACCAGCCTATAGTTTTTCAAGGCTACCTGTAACTGTCTGATTATTGTTTCATTTTCCCTAGTGGAAAAAGCTCGTATATTTGTTCCTATCATCTAGTAAGAGAGCATAGATTGAAGATTTAGAGATAGTATTCCATCCAATGGAATGTGCATGGAGAGGTTTTTATTATACTTATTAAATAGAATGGAGAAGTATCTTAAAGTCTACTTGCTGGAGTCTAGTAGAAATTAAAAATCACCATGTCATATCACTTCAAACAGTGTAACTGTTAATTACGATTCTCTTCCACCATAATTTTCCTTTTTAAACTGATCTTTTCTCAACCTACATACTGATATCCACTTCAAGTTACCATATCCATGTTCCCACATCCTACAGAGTGAAATAGTTAAGTAAATATGTAAATAGATAGCCCCGTAGATCCATTTCTATTTCTGGATCTTTTATGAATAGACATGCAAACTGCACTTCTGGGAACAATTTGCTTAAAATCAAATTGCACAATAAAATCATATGAAATTATTTTTGAAAATCTAACTGCACCTGGTAGAGGTTGGGGTCAAATTTATAATTAATGCTTTCAGATAAGTTTTTAGTTTTTTAAGTTACCACAGGCAACAGAATGCTAGGAAAAATGCAGGTTACAACAAAGCATATAAATGTGTGCTTAGAGAGGGACATGAACCAAGGCAATATATAATTTATCAATCAAATATTCTCAAGAAATATTTATGGGCACTCCAGAGGTCATAATGAACTGCAATATACTTAGTCATAATAAGCATGCAGCTGATATAGAAATATATAATAACAAAAACCTTACTGAACATCAGAAATAGGATTCAAAACATCTCATTTCTCCCCTACCGTTACTAAGGTAAGCTGTCCTATTCGTAGCGAAGGGAGGAGAGTCCTAGAGCTGGCATCATTGTCTTCCTGAATCAATATGCTGTGCCTGGCTTGCAAAACCAACCAAACTGTTTGAAGAAGAGTTTAAAGGGACAGAGATCAATTTTGCTGGTGTGGCATGGCCCGCAATGACTCCCCTCCCCCTTTTCCTCTTCTAATTAACATATTAAAACTAGACTGAACCGATGTTCCTTGTCCCAAAGGCAAAGCTTACTGAAACTCACTTTATTCATTTGAGTTTAATGTTTGCTTTAAAAAGGAAAAAAGGAAGTAAAGGCAAAAAAATACCCATTATTAATTGATGCTCAAGACACATTCTTCCCCATGCTCTTTTCCTCAAAATTCTTCAATTGGTCTATTGAGAGACCTGCAAATGTTCAGAAATACTTACTTAGCATCTTTAAAACATTTAGCATGCCTAGAAGGTAATAAGCAGCATGCCTGATTAAATTGCTTTCATTTTTTTAAATTCCTAGCAAAATATATAGAAAAAAAAAAATAATTGAAGCATAACGGATGATCGTACTGCAACGGGAGGCTTGTAAAGAAGGACTTGCCCTGGTTTTTTTTTTTTTTAGTAATTTCATTAGATGAAGCTATGGGTGCTTTCCGTGGTTCTGAAAATATCCTCAGAGCTCTTGTAAAAAGTGTCTTCTCATCGCTATCTGGCACCAACATACTTAATGAACTGTTATATTGCCTGATAGAAATTATGCATACAGAAACAGCTGGGGACGTGCTTCACCCTCATTGATCCCTGACAATAGGAGGAAACATAATGACTTCCATTTCATCAATGCTGTTCCCAAATTGGTCAACAGCTGAGGCTTTGGGGGGATATTTACATTTGGCTATCAGTGAAGAGTTTGGTTTTTCTTAAAGAATAATTAATGTTGCTTTATCAAACAACCCTAGCACAAAATTTATTGAGCATACTATTTTATCACCAGTCTCATATGGAAACTTAAACATGTTCTTTGGGGCCTATCGCTATGAATAAAAAAGACATCCCCAAAATCTGTCACTAAACACAATGCTATTGAGCAGAATACCTGAACAGTTTATGAACAGATATTAATTAATTAATTAATATTAATTAATTAATATTCAGATATTAACAGATATTAATTAATTAATTAATATTCTCTAAAGTTCCAGTCTTGTGGCTGCAGAGGGGTGATTTTGAACCACTATTCCCTCTTTCTTAAATATCATCAGAGTTTCTTTTATAAATCGATTAAACTGTGTGTCTTTAATAATATATTTGTGGCAAGAAACAATGAGATGTGTAGGCTACATATTATGGTTTACTTTACAAAATCTGAGTCTCAAAATGTTTTTTGAACAGCCATTCATATAAAAACACTTTTCAACTTCAAAAGATAATCAACAATTCTAGCTGAAAATTGACCTCAATAGTCAAATTGTGTCTTATGAATTTGATATTGTATGTACAACATAAATAAGAATGTGACAGTCTTGCTGACTAAAACACATCTTTGATAGCATCCTGGGCCCATCAGTTGTTGAGAAGCCAATATGAATAAAATTGGTTAGGGGAAAAATAGTACTATTCTACCCTTCTTCCACTGCCAAACGTAATCCAATAGTATCCACTTCTATGTTTCCAAATTCCATATCAGAGCTTCTTGTTTGTTTCAAAAAAGAAAGTACAATCCAATACTTTTCAGATTCATTTAATTTTTAAAAATGGAAATCTTGTTTGTGAAACTTGTGAACATTAAACTGTATCTTTGAACTATTGCAAAATTCATATTTTTCTCTTTTTCTGTTCTTTTATTAGCTAAATATGAGAAACAATACACAGAATTATACAATAAGGAGGGTGGATAGAAAGCTTAAAAAAGAAACAAAGACATATAAGGTATACATTCACACACACACACACACACACACACATATATATATATATCTTTAGCCAGAAATACACATAAAACCTACGAAAAAGAAAGAATATATATATAAATATATTTATATATATATATATATAAATATATAATTTTATATATATATATATATATAATTATCCATAGGTCATCTATGTTGATAGGTTATTGATTCATTAATTCTTGGTAACATCAATTCGGCAGACCACTGAATAGTGGGAGCCATATATTTATCTCTCCAATGCTGAAGAACACGTCTTTTAGCTGAGGTACAGAAAATCTACCTCCTTTTTCTAAATGTCAACTCCTATACGATAGGTATAAATATCAGAATAGAATAGAATAGAATAGAATAGAATAGAATAGAATAGAATAGTCTTTTATTGGCCAAATGTGATTGGATACACAAGGAATTTGTCTTTGGTGCATATGCTCTCATTGTACATAAAGAAAAAATAAAATATTATTCATCAAGAATCATAAGATACAACACTGAGTGATAGTCATAGGATACTAATAAGCAATTAAATCATACTAGGAAACAATAAAAACAATATAAGTTGTAAAGATACAAGTAACATGGATATAGCCATAAGATAAGCTAAAATGAAATAAAGTGAGATAAAATAGAGTAAGTTCAGATGAAATAAAAGATAAGAGAGTAAGACAAAATAGTGTAAGATAAAACAGGATGTAGAAACATACAATGAATACTAAAATACAAAACTATATATTTTATGTTTAGATGAATTCAAGTAGAGTCTGTAAATACTAAGCCCTTGCTGGACATAGAGATGGGAATGGAAAAGAAAATGCACAATATCTTTTATTTCTGGTGCTCCACAAACTCAGATTTTCTCAGAATATGCACTCGGTGGAGGTAACATTTAATAAGGGAGAAAACCCTCCACATCAACATTTCATAACCAATGTGTAATATTGCAATGTGAAATATTATAATGTATAATGTAACAAATCAAATAATTGAAATGAATTGCAATTAACTATTAAAAGAAATAAGATAAAAATGAGTGCTAATCAAAATACACATTCTATACAAACTGACAGGATGGTTAATTCATTAATTCTCCTTTTGCCTTTTCTGATCCACAGTAGCTTTTATTTTATTCATAAAAATGTTGAATTATCATGCAAGGTAGACACACAGACAGTTAGAAATAGAATATTCATCTGATCTTTTGGTTTAAGTTACAACTATGCGTGTATATTTTATAATCCACTTGATTTAAAAAAGCAAAATTGTAAGGTTCTCATTCACTCTGTGTGCCTGCTCATATTAACCAGAACACCTCAGCCCAGGTGAATGCAACACTTATTGCTTTCTCCAATACTCCCTGCTATCATAATCAAGAGGAAAATTTAGTATTTCTTTCTGAGCAAAACCCTAGGGCGGTGATGGCAAACCTATGGCATACGTGCCAGAGCCCTCTCTGTGGGCACACACACCTTCGCCAGCTGCTCTTCTAGTTTCAGGCATGCACATGCACTCCGGCCAGCTGGTCTTCGTGGGCACTGGAGCGCCAGAATATGGCCTGAAAAATGCCCCAAAAACAGGTCATTTTTCAGGCCATTTTCCAGGCTGTTTTTGGCCCAAAAAAGGCCTGAAAACAGCCTGAAAAACAGCCCGAAAATGGCCTGAAAAACAACCTGGAAATGGCCCAAAAACTGGCCAAAACCGGCCAAAAAACAGGCACGCACGTGCCGGCCAGCTGATCTTCAGATTTCTGGTGCTCTGGCGCACGCGAAGACCAGCTGGCCGGCACACATGCGTGTTCTGGAAACCTGAAGACCAGCTGCCCGGCGTGCACATGCACACCGGCCAGCTGGTCTTCAGATTTCCGGTGCTCCAGCATGCGCACATACACGCACATTACAGTTTGGGCACTCAGTGCCAAAAAGGTTCACCATCACTGCCCTAGGGGTATCTGAAGCATGTTATACAGTCACCAAGACACAAGCTAATGTCACTGTTTACTGGAAAACATATAGCAAACCAAAGAGAACACAAATGGATATTGGGATTAAAGGAAAAAAAATTGTATATTTTGAAAGTAAATGTAAAGAAAGGATCAATGCTACAGAGACTCGGGGCAACCTGCTATAAAAGAAATCTAGGAAGACACTGACTTTGTCCAAAATAAATTTTCAAGTACATGTTGAGTATTTGCTCCAAAATTCTGCGTGTGACTTATTCCTTCCTGAATCCTGGAAAATTCTCTGGACACAATATTCTGGAGTATGATCTGGTTTCATCTTCCCTTTTCCTGGCAAAACTCATGCTCGTCTGACTATTTAACCTCAGGAAGAGGAAGGAATAGTATTTCCACAGGAATTTAGCCAATTGCCTCTTTTGGATTTTTTTTTACTGGAGGAAGAGAGTATTTGGTTACAGAATATATGTAAGACTTTCGATACACAAAGGAAATCTTGTGATTTTCCTTTTTAGACATATCAGTTCAAAAATGCATTAGCAATGATATAGGGGAAAAGAAGAAAATGCATAAAAAAAGATGTGACTTATTTCTACTTCAAGGATAAGTCTTCCATTATTTTAGGTTATTAAATGTAAATAAACAAACAATGGATAAAATCATGTCGCTCAATTAAATAGTTTTACTCCTAGATAAAATGTGAATAACTAATAAGTAGCAGGTGCTTATGAGCAAAAGAGAGGGATTGTTGCACAGAACAGTCAGAATTCATTAAGGTATTCATATTGATTATGGATCCATGAATAACTTTACTGTTGATGAAACCACATCATAAAATTAAGTTTGATGTTTTATATCTGTTAGAGGAAATATTGTCCCAGATGACTGAAACAATCTTGCTAGATGCAAAACTTGTTCGGTAATCACATTACTAAGACTTGATTTGATTTGGATATCTTTAATACTCACACACCAGGCTGGGAAAGAACATCTAAAAGCTTTAATACAATCATTTTGTTTTCTATTCTAATGAGGCCTTGCAATCATCATTGATTACCAATGGGCTGATATAATATGATTTCCAATGTTTTTCCTGTTCATTGTACTCGAGAGCAAGAGAGTGATGTGCTATCAGTTCCAGGGCCTATTCACAGGGGGATTTGAGTTTATATGAGTTCTTTTATCCATTAAGTACAAAGGTCAAAGCAGCTTGAGTTTTTCACACCCATCATTCTTCACCAATATCCAGCAAATCTTAAAGAGTGCTACCAGTAAGACAACAAATGTGATAAGAAGAACGATATCAAGGCTTTGCTGTCTTTAATACCACAGTGTAGACCAACAATTATCTACTGACATGAACAAGAAAATAAAAAGTATATATTTTACAATACAAGCACGTATGTGATTAACTGAAAATTAGAAGCATTTCAAATCACATGAAGTATTGGTGGGACCTGTAATTCACTTCTAAGTTACATGCATGTATTAGGTTCAGTGACTAATAT